TTTCTTTCTTTCTTTCTTTCTTTCTTTCTTTCTTTCTTTCTTTCTTTCTTTCTTTCTTTCTTTCTCAATTACAGTGCGGCTGAGGAATTCTACAGCCAATGTACTCTGACCAGTGTGTGACTGACTCATGGTGCAATGCTGGAATTGAGGGTGGGTTATTGCTAAATCGGTCCACTGATTGGTTTGGCACCACCATAATCCCAGTGGGCTAGATAGAGTATAAAAGGGGCAGAAAGAAGTTCTTAAGGTCCCTTCTTGCTTTTGCTATCTTGTGGGCGACATGAGCTGTTTTCTTCTGTGTTGCCCCTCTGCCATGCCACCCTGCCTGGGAGCCAGCCAGTTATGGATTGAAGCCTTTACAAACTGTGAGCTAAGTAAATCTTTGCCCCTTCAACTTTGTATGTCAGTTATTTTGTCTCTGCAAAGAGAGAAAAGTAACTAAGATGATACATTTATAAAGAAGTTTGTTTTGGATCATAGTTTTGGTTCAAAGTTGATGGGCTACATTTGGTGATGGCTTGCTTCCTGACAGACACCGAAGTGGCACAGGTCAGCCCATGGTGCAGAAGACAGAGGATGCATCTACCTTCTGTTCCCTCTCCCTCTGCTTGAACCCCACCTGGATTTCATCACAAGCGTTCTACCTTGATGGTCTCAAGGAATTACAGTCATTACTCAAAGGTTGCATCTACCTTCTGTTCTCTCTCCCTCTTCTTGAACCCCACCTGGATTTAATCACAAGCATTGCACCTTGATGGTCTCAAGGACTTACAGTCATTACTCAATGGTCCCACCTCTGGACACCATTGTGGGACTGAATTTCCACCCTGTTAATAACTCACAATGGGAATGAAACTCCAATGTGAGCTTCAGGGAGGATGCACTACATTCAAATCACAGTGGTAGCCTAGAAGGTTTGGGGATGTGTTTATCCTCTTCAGGTGGTTATAGGAAAATAAAGATAAACTGATACTTTCTCTGCTATTTAATTATTCACATCTTTTTAACCAACAAAAAGCAGTGGTAGATTAGAAATATAAGACACATATTTTGATGCTTATGAACATTATATAAACATAAACATTAAACCATGGAAAGAGCAGTAATTACATTATGACATTCTCCTGGGTGCTAGGTTTGTAAACAAATAAGTCATCTTTGTACTATTTTTGAAAAGTATAGATTTACTAATAAAACGCGTAGTAGAAATAATGTGTGAAATTTACCTGTGGAGGGAAATGAATCAGAAATTAGTTTCACAAAAGCATGGCGATAAAAATGCCAAAAACAAAACAAAACAAGAAAAAAACGAGCCTGGGGAATCAGGCTAATGCTTTGAAATGATAATTGTACAACACTCTTTAACTTAGTCATTAACTGAACACTTGGGAACAACCGCTTGCATTAAACACATTTTGATTGCTTATATATTTGAGAAATAATAAAGCTGCAGTTTAGAATGGAAAGGCACATTAGCATGCTCTACTGTTGCTAATCAGAAGCTGAGGAATGGAAAGCGCTGGTGGATGAACCATCTGATTCTGACTGTAGTGGATTGACAACTGGTGGTCAACTTGTAACACCCAGCTGAACACCCAGCGTAGCGCTGGGTGTACGTGGCCCACCTGAGGGTTGTTGCCAACAAAATAAAAAGAAGAACTGCAAAGAAAGAAGTTCAGAGGCTATAGGGAACTGTTGGGAGCTGTTGGTTCTCTTGGAGGAGCTTGTTGCCCTGGCTTTCCCAATGCACTAGGCTATTCTCATGGTCGGAGGAGCTGGGGACCTTATTGTTGCTGAGCATGGCTACGGTTCACGTTGGGGGAGCTCTGATTCTTACTTTGAGCATTGCTTGCTGCCTCTGGAGGGGAAGATGGTGCACTTTTCAATATCCTGGAGAAGCTTATCACACTGGCTTTCCTGACATGAACTCAATGTTCTCATTGTTGGAGGAGCTCGGGACTGTTGCTAAGGATGGGGGTGGTACTTTTCCGGGGAGTTCTGGTTCTTACATTAAGTGTTGCTTCCTGGCTCCAGTGCAGAGCCTTCAGCCTGCTAGCACAGATCTTTCATCCCACTGGCATAGACTGTCTAGCTTCCACCACTGACCTTTGGGCCTTCCCAGTGCAGATCCTTGAAACAGGCCTGCATGAGACTCGCATGGGTCTTGGCCTCCAGTTGGACTCATGGGGGGCATTGTATAGGCTCTAGGTCTTCAGCTGGATTCATGCAGGACATTGCCATGGGATCCTGGCCCTCAGTTGGATTCTTTCGGTCTTTAATGTTGGACAGATTTCCTGTACTCTCTTCATATATGACTCTTTGGGTGATTATTACAAAATAATCTTATAAAAGATGTGTCCTGTAGTGTTTGCCTTGTAAACCCCTGACTACAGCACTGATTCACTGATCTTTCCATCTTGCCAGCACATGGTAACTTTACTAACAAGATGGACTTCATAAATTCATGTGCACCTTTTCCTTATTTGGTCCACCATGTCAGAACTTATGATCTAGTATTGTTTTAGGCTTTCTAATCATGTAGTTTTGACCAAGTTTTCTCAACCTTAGCTCCACTGACATACCCAGTGGAATAATGATTCCATTGTTTTCCTGCACATTTCAGGATGGTTAGTGGCATCCTGGTCTCCGTTTTCTAGGTACCAGGAGCATCATTCCCTCTTAATCCCCACTTTAGTAGTAACAACCAGGAAAAGTCCTCCAACTTTGCCCCATATGGGGACAAAATTGTGGGGGGCACAATGGTCCCCAAGCACTAGCTCAGATGACGCTTCATTCAGTAACTCAGCATTGTGTGGCCCACAGTACTTCTGGACCAGAATGGAAGGATGGCAGACAGTGTGCAAGTCCTCCCTGATGAAATGTTGGCTGTAGATTTACAGCTTTTCTTCAGATTTGCTGTTGAAGAGGAGTCTCCCCTGAAGTTGTTCTCCTCAGTGTTCCTCCCCATTCTGGGGCACAGCATTGAAGACACACCTGTGTGATCTGTGGGTGACACAGAGCCAGGCAGTGTGGGCCAAGCATAGGCTGCATCCTGCAGCCGGAGGTAGCTGAGCGTGTCCTGGGAGGATGTGCTCTGGAGCAGGCCTGAGGGGATCCTGATGCATCATTGAACAGGTCTGTGTCATCCTTGCACTGCCAGTGCCT